GTGTGTGTGTGTGTGTGTGTGTGTATAATTTATTTCAGTGAAGAAGGAAGAGGGGGAGAGAGAGAGAAACATCTGTGTTGAGAGAGAATCATTGATCGGCTGCCTCCTGCACGCCCACCACTGGGGATCCAGCCTGCAGCCCACCTGGCTGTCCTCGTGTGGCGGCTCTAGAACCTCCTGAGAGCCCCATCCTGGGACCAAGCCCGGGGAGTAGGCCCTGTGAGCTCTCTGCACCCACAGGAATGGATGAGCAACAAGACCAGGCCAGGACACTCCCTGCCCCGGCTGTGCGCTGCCATGGTCAAAAAGTGCAAATGGTCAACAGTCTGCAGCAGGTGTTGTCTGTGTGGGGTCAGGATGGGCTGCTCCACAAAGCACACACACCAAGCTCAGGTGGAGTCTGAGTACAGCCAGCCTACAGACCCTCCCTTCAGGCTCATCTGTGAAGACCTAACTCTGCACCCGCCTCCTGCAGGTGCCAGTGCTCACCAGACGAGGGTGCCTCCAAGCCGCTGCAGGATTGTGCACCTGGACAGGACCAGTGGGGACCTGAGCACTGGAGGGACAGCAGAGGCCAGCCCCCAAGGTCATCTCTTGTGAGAGTGACAGCACAGGCAGACCCCCTCCTCCTGGGAGACTGCCCACTGCCCTGACTCCGAGGGAAGGAGGGACACCCAGGCCCACACAAGAGGCCCCTGCACACCTAAATGCTCTTCATTCATTCAACAAATATTTCTGAGTCTCTCACAGGGACCAGGCCACAAGTGCCACTGAGGTCAGGGCAAGCCTGCTGGGGATGAGACCCTGATGGGCAGAGAGGGTAACATAGGTTCCTGCATTCTGCCCAGGGACCCAGCTGGAACTGAGTCTGGGACAGAGCAGGTGCCTCTTGACAACAGCAGGCAGAAGGTACCCTCCTCCCTCAAGCCATTGGGCCTCAGCTCCCTGCGCCTTGGTTTCCTCATCTTGGGCTGCAGAGTGAGTTAAGACATGTTCATTCAGTACATGTGAGCAGTTATCATCACCATCTCTACCATCATCATCATAATCACCACCACCACCATCATCATTACCATCACCATCAACACCGTCATTACCATCACCATCATTACCATCACCGTCAACACCATCACCGTCAACACCATCATTACCATCACCATCATTACCATCACCACCATTACCATCACCATCATTACCATCACCGTCAACAGTCAACACCATCATTACCATCACCATCATTACCATCACCGTCAACACCATCATTACCATCACCATCATCATCATTACCATCATCGTCACCACCATTACCATCACCGTCAACACCATCACTCTCACCGGATGGGGACCTATTTTCAGTTACTTGAAGCGGAATGGAAGATGCAGACCCACTGGAACTGTGGTCATTCAGAAGACCCATGTGCTCCTAAGAAGGTGACCGCATGCTGAAGGCGCAGGAAAGGCAGAGATGAGAGTTTAGTGAAGTGTGGGGTGCTCAGTAACAGATAGCTGGGGTGTGATATCAGGTCCCCAACCCCACATGAGGAGAGCTCTCCCCAAGCCATCAGTATCTAAGAAGCCCCAGACCCAGCTGACACTTGGGCAGTCTCCAGTTTCCCCACAATCCTCCAAAATGTCAGGGAGACCAGTCTTGGCACCTCACTCACATCTCCAAACCACTTCACACCAGAGCTGTGCAGAAACCCTAGGGCAGGGGTGGGCAACTCCTGGCACGTGTGCCAAACATGGCACGCCAGTAACTTTTGCTGGCACATGAAACCCTCTCTTATAATCTTCCATTTACAATTTTTTTCTTAATATTGACTTTTTTATTTTTCAGATAAATTCAGTGTAGGTGCATCTTAGATAAATAAATAATTTTACATAACAAGTTATCTTAAAGACCATAGACATGGATTGACGAGAGAGGGAAAGAGCAATTTCTATGCCTCTGCCTTAACTCTCCCTGCCTTCCTAGATCCGACCAGTGTTTTGGTTTCATCCACATACGCTTGTGAATCTTTGTTCTCAGTGATGAATTTTGTTAAGTCTCGTAATAGGAGTAGCCTGACGGATGAAAGTAGTAGCTCGTGCATATCTCTGAAGGTCACGAAATATAAACCTGATGTAATATCTCTGTCATCAGTGATGCAGCAGCAAAAGTCCCACTGATAATATCAAACGGAGTCATAACGTTTGCTGTCGGACTATCAGTGTACATGTATACATTAAAAAATAAATGTAATTTTCATCATCATATACTGTGTTTTTGTCGCTCGAATGAATTTTATTATTTCTTCAAGGTTCTTCACATACGTACACCTTAAGAGATACCAAGTAGGAGTAACATGTTCTCAAAAAATTAGGGTTGGCACACAGAAGAATTTTGAGTCAGAGATTTTGCTGGTTTTGGCATGCACTCACAAAAAGGTTGCCCACCCCTGCCCTAGGGGCAAGCCATTCTGCTTCCTGTTTAGAAGGCACCGTCTCCCTTCATCCAGACCCTCTTCTTGGGTCCTTCCCAGTAAATAAAGATGAACTCTGAGAAGAAACAGTCTACTGGGTGTTCTTTTAGCGCAAAAATTTCACCATGTGTCTCTCATCCACAGAATGATTACAGTAAAACTGTGGTACAAGATAGCTGTGCAAATGCCTTTTCTAACATGTTGCTTTTGAAAAAATAACTCAACTCACAAATCGCAAAAGCAACTGCAGGCTGCAGAGAAGGGATTGTGTGGGGTATGGGGCTCATGCATGGAGGGCATAGGGGCGGGAGGGGGCGTAGGAAGGTGCAGGGAGGGGACAGGGAGCATAGGAGGGCTCGTGGAGAGGAGGTGCAGGGAGCGCATGTAGGGGGGACAGTGCTGGGAGTCCAGGAGTAAGTCAGGGCACTTGCTGCTGTAAAACAAAACTGCTGCTGGTCCCTGGCTACTGATAGGCACAATGAGGACCAGATGAGAGCCAGGACAGAGGCGAGTGACCTGCCTCCATCCTATGAGTAAAAACTCCTCAATCCTGGATGGCAAGAAACCTGAGGGACAGGATCCTGGCTGAAAAGCCAGCCACTGAGCCCGTTCCTTCCCATGGTTCCCTGCCACAGACACAGGGGCCCGTGAGCCGGGCCAGCGACAGCGACACACCAGACGGCCTGCAAGGATGCTGCCTGTGCACCTATCGTCAGACCCTGCGAGGAAATCCTGAGCCAGGGGGACTGAGAGCACTCGTGGTGGAACTGGGAGTCCGCGCAGGGCGTGCTTGGGGTGGGACACGGGAAAGGCCGACCCAGTTTGCTTTGGAGGCATGTGCTACTGGCAGCATCTGGTGCACATGAACATTATGACATCCCTCGAACCCTCCACACCAGGCCCGGCACCCCGGAGTGCCAGGAATGCTGCGAGGCAGCTCCAAGGGTTTGGAGGAAGCCTTCAGAGCGGGTGGCTTTTAAGGACTCAACACACAGCCAGTCAGTAACTGATCCTGTCGGACAGGTGTTGTCAAGGCCTGTGCTCCCTGGTCACCAGCCACACAGCCTCCTCCCACGCCCACCCCGGAGGCCCCCAACACAGAGGGCCACATCACTGCAACTGCAGCACCCCCAGCGCACCACTTCACAAGTCAGGGACCACGTATGTTCACTGACCAAACCGACAAACGGCAGGCGAGGGGGCTGACACTCCAGGTCTAACTCTTCCCCAAAATAAAGCCAGAGAAGCAACTGAGCAAAGGCAAAGCTGCACGTCTCCTGGCAGATCAGTCCTCAGGCGGGGGACACCCTCCAAGTGGCGTGTCCTGGACGTTCTGCATCCCCTTCCACCCAGGACTGTCCCTGCCTGGGTGCAGGGGAGGGGTTCTCTGGGATGACACTGATGCTCTGGCTTGGTCATGCTTGTCAAGGCTGTAACCAAGGGGAAACCTGGCGAACTCGACTGTACACCAAGCTCTCTAGAGGGCACCCCTTCTGCGGTTGGACAGGAGGGAATGAGGGGGAGAGACCTGTCAGCAGCTAAGTGCTGGAGGGGCAGTGGGCCCAGGCCTCACAGCATAATCCCTGTACTTCTGCTTTTCTCAAAGGCTTACGGCAAAATGCAGGGAACTGTTCGTTGAGTTAGAACTGGGTCTTTCAAGTTCCTCTACATCCAACAGACTAACAAGGGTGAGGAAGGACTTAGGGGGTCATCAGCTCCCCGACAGACCTGTGGACTTTAGGGCAGTGGGTGACCCTTTAACTGGCTTTGCAGCTAAAGGGTGTCCCAAAATTCACGCAAGAAGTAATTTTGATAGAAAACACAGGTTTATAATTAAAAATTGTAAATTTTTTATTAATTCATAAAGTATACAGTATAGGTTTATGTATGGAATAGCATATCGGGTAAATGGCCTCCACGGCTTTGCTGGCAC